GGGGGGCATGAGGAGGGTAGGGGGCAGTTCCCACTGCTGCGCGTACCCTGGGAGGGCACGGGGGGCATGTGCCCCCAGATCTCCATGGGGCAGGGTGGGCTATCACTGTGGGCTGTGCAGGGCTCTTCCTGGCAGGGGCTGGGCTAGGTTGTGTTCAGAGCGGGGTGAGCGGCAGCACTGGGAGGGGGCTATGGGGGGGGGTCTACAGCAAATTTTGGGGTGTCTGCAGCCCCCCATAACCCCTCCCAACACCACCGCCACCCGCCCTGAGCGCAGCCTGGCCCAGCCCAACTCTCCCCACATTCTCCCGGGGTGTGCGCAGTGGTAGGAGCCCCCCCAAACTCCCCGGCTGGGCAGCACCTGCTGCAGCCCCTGCCCCCTCCACCCCAGACCCACTCCCTCCCTCACCACTGGGGCCTCGATCTTCCCCCACTCCACACCCCTTCCCTTCCCTCTCCTCTCCCACCATAACAGATTCACCAGCTGGACACTGCTCTTCAAGCTACCGGGCTGTGTATCGGAAATCAGATTGGTATCAACCAATATGCATCTTTAAAAACTGGGTATCGACCCCAAAAATTTCTATCAGTGCACCCCTAATTTTGTCAGGGCTTTGTGATAACTGGGAAAGGAGGATAGGTGGGGAAGTATTAGAACCCCAATGCACAGCAGGCCACTAATTTCCAGAGGAAGAGGACAGGTTGTGTTTTCAGTGGAAAATGCTATTGAGATATAGCACATTACTGACATTTTACTTATTATTACAAGTTTTCAAAAACAGGAATTAAATATCGCAAAACTTCTTTAAAGCAGGTGAAAACTGGACAGACAGGAATTTGATTAATACTGCATAGCAAGTCATAGCCCAATCCAGGAAGAGAAACTGTTCTGATCTTTACATTGCATATATCTGACTTGCTCCCTTGGCAAATGAGAACCACGACTGTGCTTTCTTTTCATCTTCATGCTTGTATGGGAAAATTATGAAGATGTTCTAGAAAGAGAGATGTGTTTGGTGAGCTACCTTCCTTGTAGATCTCCTTTGCCACCACAGTCAGGCCATACATCTTCACAGCAGAGTAAACATCTCCAGCATCCAACGAGGCAGCATCTGCTTTATTTGCCTTAAAAAAAAATCTATTATAGAATGGGCTCATGGGATCAGCCAGAACAGTCTGAATACTAGTGAGCCCTGCTGGGTAGGGGTCAGCCATCACAGTTTTTTCCTAACATGCTCCTGGTTTTCAGTTGACCCTCTGCTACAGGGCATGTTAGAACATCAGCAATGCATAGAGGAATTTGAACTGCCAGTATGTGATGTGTCAATATCTTAAGCACAGAACATAAGCATCCTTCCTAACAAGCCAAATTTTGCAAGGTGATTTCTCCTCCTACTCTTCTTTTAAATCCTCTCTACCCAGGGTGAAAACCTGGCTCTAGTGAAGTCAAAGATAAAACTCTTAATGACTTCAATGGGACCAAGATTTAAATGCAGGACTTTTTTCTTCCATATACACAAAGAATGACTGGGGATTCTTCCCACTGCCCCTCAGAAAACCTTTAGCAGAAACATCCAGGCTAGAATCCCTCTTTACCAACACTGTCTATAGAGCCATATTTAGTAGGAGCTGAAATCCATTAACAAGGAGGTCAGGAATGACCGAAGAGACAAGAATAAGTTCTTTTATGACATTCCAAGAGGCCTTTTTTTCTTCCTCCTAGGTCAGAGATGTGATCTGCTGAAGGAAAGCAGGGCTGAAAGAGCACAAACAGCATTCTCCTCTTCCAGTCCATTCTGAATACAATAGTATTACATGGAAGGCCAGGACTAAGTCATTTTTCTCTTCATGGTAATATGCATTTAGCAGCACATGGCAGTAGGAAAACATTATCCCAGAAATGCTTAAACCTCTAATTACATCACTGCCTCATCTCAAGGAAATTATGACTATTTATAATTATAAATTATTTTATTATTTGGAGAAGGGCCAGATGTCTTGTTCAGGAAAGACTAGCAAGAAGTTAAAAGGGGGAAGGAAATGGAGCATTCAAGATAGTAGCACAAGGACTGAAATTGACAAGCCATGGCAATACCTGGGGATTCAGATGTGACTCTGAAGCAGCCCTCCATCTTTGTCTGACAGGGTAGCAAAGGTGTAACAGATGCTCTATTTGGGCAAAATTTGGGTAAAATTATTTGGATTCTCCATGGCTGCCCATGTCTCAGGTACTGTACCATGACACAATAGGATGGATTTCACTCACTTTTGGATTCATTTTACCATTTTTTTTTCTTTTCCCTGCAGAGGAGTTAGGTTTGGGTTTCAAATTAACTCTGAAATTCTCCATAGACTCACTCTGATTTTGTTGATACAGTCATGAGTGTTGTGTGCCCGGATGCAAGAAACCCTTGCAAAGGAGTTGATTGTAGCAAGAGGCAGGACAGCCA